TAGACACAAGAACAGGAGGAAGGAGGCACACTCAAAGAGCGATACCATGGAGTCTAATTCACAGCTTCAGTTCCAATATCTGAGGCCCCTTTATGGCAAATAAATGTGGATAAAATCACTGTCAACAATCCTCTTAGATTGCCCACAACATATGGCATCCTTTGGCTTCCTGCATGTAACCCTAAACTCTCTGAATCCTATGTTTACTTATGCATAAATGTGTATGCAATTTTCTGGGCATTCAAACCATTGTGCCTCTTAAAATATCCCTCAAATCTCTTAAGTCAATAGGAGTTCAGGAGAAAGTTCTAAAATGTTCCTACTTGCCTGCTGGATTTACACCTGTTTTATTATTAAACCTCAATAGCTTCAATACATGTTAACAGATTGAGATTCTTTGTTGTTAAAGTGAAGTAGAGAAGGTAGAGAAGCATATGTAGGGGTTGGGAGTGGGATAGGTGCTAAAGTCAGAGGCAAATTAAATGCACATAAATTGCTACCCCAACTCAGGTGTAGCTCCAACTCAGGTGTTATTCTGTAAAGAGGGTGGCTTACTGAATCACTATTAGAAGGGAAGGGACTGTCTATTAGTCATTTCTCCATGAATCTGAAGGAGTTCATTAACTTGGGGAACATAGAACAGTTTGTTCAGAGCTGATTCTCACGAACTGTGTAAAGTTATTAATATGTTAATATAAATCCAAAGACATGTTAAGAAGATACAAAAAATATGCACATGCAGTAAGAATATGTTCAGTATTATCTAAAAATTCCACCAAAGGATGGCTGAGGTAATGGCCTGAGGAAGGAACTACTGGAATGGGGTCCATCCTTATCCTTCTCTGGATTCTCCATTCTCCGTCCTGGTTCTGGGTCAGCATCACCAACGTTCAAGATGCTGTGATTTTAATTTGCCAGAACAAATCTAAAGCACAATGGTAGCAAAAATAAGTGACAAACTTTGGCTTAATAAAAAATCCCAAAGTCTTCAAGTTGACCTAGACAAAACTAAGTGCAATTAATTTAAGACAGAGTCATGGATTAACAGGTAAATAGTAACTGGAATTGGGAGGTGGACAAGAAAACTAGAATGCACATTAAGTATTAATGGGAAGAAGCAATCTTAACAAGGGGCCAGAAAAATGACATGGATCTGGTTCCTTTCCTATAGTACACAGTACAACTTATTTGATAAAATCATTTTTAAAAAGATTTAAAAAAAAAAAAGGACTCACCTACCAGAAGAAACATTTGCTTTCTAATCCTCTTAAGGAGTAGATCTAATAATAAATAAATTACATTCAGGAAATTATCTTTACGTCAAACATTTTAAAAAAATGTTTAAGATGACAAATGTCATTAAAAAGCAAGGCTATTTCCACTTATTTTTGAATAAAACTGGTGACATAACCGAGTGAAATTTAAATTTTTCAGCTTTTTACACTTCAGGGCTCCCTTTTATATACAAAACATGAGTATTTTAACCTAGCATAATATTCACCAAATAATGACATTAATAAACTTTTGGGGAAGGATCTCTGATGATTCTAATTTACTTGCAAAACTTCCTGGTTTCCCCTAATAAACTAAAACAGATCCAAAGATTCAACCCTGGAGGTGAACTATTTACTACCTTCTATTGCACTAAATGGCCCCGTCTTGAGCCTTGAGGAATGCCCTTTGATTTTTAAAGTTTTTACACTACTCTGCATAAACCACTTGACGACATATAGCTACAGAGTGTTTTTTTCTACTTCAAATACCCAAAGACTTGCCACTTTTCAAGGATGAAGCACTGAGAGCTATCCTCTCATTTATTACCTGTAAATCCATCTCATTGCTTAACTGTCACCACCTTGCAGAGACCCACAGGAAGATGAACGGGAAGGCCAATTTCTTTCCTTCTGGGCTCAGATATAAAATCACAATTGATTTATTATTGTGATACATGGAATTGGTTATTACTAGTTTCTGATATTCAACAAAAGACTAATATAAGGAATACGAAAATATGGGGCGATTTTTTCTCTTTCACAAATCCACAGAAGTTTTCACTGTTACTTCTGACAAAAAAAAAAAAAAATTAGCAAGTGAAGTAAATCACTGTAGGAAAAAACTGGTCTACTAGAAAGATTAAAGCAGGGGCGTCTGGGTGGTTCAGTCGTTAAGCATCTGCCTTCAGCTCAGGTCATGATCCCAGGGTCCTGGGATGGAGCCATCAAGCTCGCATTGGGCTCCTTGCTCAGTGGGAAGCCTGCTTCTCCCTCTCCCACTCCCCCTGCTTGTGTTCCCTCTCTCGCTGTCTCTCTCTGTCAAAAAAATAAATAAAATCTTAAAAAAAAAAAAGATTAAAGCAGCTAACAATTATGAAAATGCTTGGTAAGCCATAGAGCAGTATGAACATGGAATATAAGCTCCACAGGGGCAGAGACAGTCATCTGTTTTGTGCACTGACTATCCCACTGGCCTTGGACAGAGCCTGACACATGGGAGATAGTCGGTAAGCATTTGCTGAACGAATGAAATATGTGGTATAATTAAAAATGGGTAACAAAGATAATGAAGCTGAAATTACATGCAGTGGCGTAAGCCCCCTAGTTAAATGGTTCTGTATTTCACCAAGGCACCAATAAAAAGAACTCTGGGGTTTTTTCATTCGACATTTGGATTGGTACACTCAATGAGTTAAGGTTGAAAAAAAAAGCAAGTAGTCAATATGCTGAAATGACTAAAAATCACATTTTGTGATCCACTCCAAAGTAAGTGTCTGAAGGATCAGAAGCGATTGTTTGCTCACATTTCAGAAATATAAAGAAATACTGTTATCTTTCCAAAAACAGTAGCTCTTCTATCTCCTCTATATTCTCTACAGAACATCAGTCACTATGTCATCAGTCAGCTAATTTTCAGGTGATAGTAACCTTGTCAGTACTCATTATAACTTCATAATTCTACACAGTAGAAAAGAATTCCCACAACATTTGGTAGGACAAAAATCTGTTACTTAAATAAAACTAGGGCAATGTTCAGAAAACTACATTCTGTGTCAAATTACAAAGATAAATGAATGTAAATGCTGGTTCTAAGCAGCATATTTGTAGAAACAAATATAGAGAGTTTTAACTTTCTTAAGCTACTTCTCTAGATCCAAAAATTAAATGCACTTTTATTTTTTTAAATAAAAGGTTATTTGTTCAAATGAAGATTAACCGAGGAGAATATATCTTCAGTGAGGACAGAATAAAATACTGGGAAAATATATGCTTACACTATATTAGTATGCTTAAAAGAGAAATATAAATTCTTGTACTCTTATTCCAAAAAATCATTTTTGCATTTTGACACTTTAATAAGTGTACAAGAATGAATATATCCTTGAAAATTTTTTAAAATGTACTTAGGAGTACCTTTACCCAATAATTGCAATATTTTTAATGGAACAGAGACACAAAATTCTTTTTCAGTTATTGAATTATCTGCATTTGATTTGTATTTGGTTTACTTAAGTTTAATCTGTAAAATCTACAAAGGTGAAAATTAAGTAACTTTCAGTGGTTGAGTAACCAATCATGATCAGGAGCAATTTAAAAATCCTTAAAAATAACTTCTATGAACACAATGCCAAACCACTAAAAGCTAGGCAAATCACCACTCTTTTCGAAAATGTTATCTTTCATGACACAGTATTTACTAACTCTTATCTAGGTGAACCTGCTTTATACGTTTCTAATTTTCCACATACTTCAGAAATAACAGAGTGGCCCAAATTTCCAAGGAACATAAACCCTGCCTTTATCTGTGTTTGTTCCTTTCCCAAGGCTTCCTAGAGTTTAGGTTTTACACCATGAGAATGAGACCGGTGCTCATATAATTATATTTGTTCCATTTTGTTAGTAACCACTTCAAACTGAAAGACCAGGACAGGTTCTAAACATGTTAAATTCTATAAAGCCATTAGCAATAAATTTGATCCGGCAGTTTGCTGGGACAATGGAATCTGCTGAAAAAACGTCTATTAGTCATTCTGAACAAACCCACCGGGATTAAAAGAATGAGTTAAGATCGTCTAAGGACGCAGCAAAAAAAAAAAAAAAAAAAAAATTAATCCAACTGGATCTCAGCTTCTGAGTGTTTTAAGAGACTCTTCTTTTTTTTACTGCCCATTTCGGCTGCCTCTCCATATGCTTTAGCTAATATCTGACTAAACCGTCCGCATCCTCTTCCCAATCACACCACTTAGGTTTTACCCGAAAATGAAAACAAACCAAAACTGCCTTTCTTTGGGTAAGTAAATTCCCATTTATTGGTGAATTTCCTATTTCAGGTGCCAATTCAGCTGTTTCGGCTCAGCACAAAGAGAAAGTCGGTCTTGATTTCCTTGCGCCTTAGTGATCCAAAATATAAAGAATGGCGAAAGCCAAAAGTTTGCGCAACTCTCCTTCCAAAGATCTTTGCCAGCGTTCTTGAACTGCCCCGGCCATCGCAACAGTTTGAGAAGGAAAAGCCCCCAAAGCGGGCCTCGCGAACTTCTGCTGGCCAAGAACTTCCCGGGGAGCTGGTGTCGCGCGGCCTCCAGGACAGGAGCCGGCGGGCAGAAACGCTCAACTTGGGAAACCCCGTGAAACTGCTCCAGCGAGCCCAGAGATCTTGGGACCGGGGCTGCCCTTTCCCGCTAACCCAATGAGGTTCATTCAGGGTTTCTCCGGAAAGGCCTGAAAATCAAGGTAGCCCTACCACTTGTTGAAAGGAGACCGAGAAGAAGCTGGCGGTATGGGGTGGGGGAGGGGAGGTGTCACAGTTAGTGGTGGTACCCTCTTTACCCCCGAAGTGGCATCTACCACTAAAGCTCGAGACGCTCTAGGAAGGTCCCAAGCCAGAGCTGATTCCTGCGCGCTGGGGCCAGCGCTCCCCTGGCGCAGGGCGCACCGCCGAGCGCCCGGATTCCGGCCCCGCGAGGCAGGAGGCGCCGGGCGCGGCTAGGGAGGGAAGAGCTCGCTCACCTGGGGCTGAAGGCTGGAAGGTACAGTCCCGGTCCGCCGGAGCCCGGCCGGGCAGCCTGGCGCCGTCCGCCGAGGGGCTGAGCACTTGAAAAGCCCAACGCGTGCCGTATGGCGCGCCGCCGGGGCTGACTTGTTCCGCCGCAGGGCACAGCTTGAGGGGAACGGGGCTGGCCGGCAGGGGCCGGACCTGCGCGCCGGCGGCCGTGGCGACTAGAGCCGACGCCGAGCCGTGGTGCGCGGGTGGCTGCAGCCCGTGCGGCGGGGCGCCCCCAGCCCGCAGCAAGTTCTCGATCAGGAAACTCTTGCCCAAGTTGCCAAAGCCCGGCGCTGTGGGGAAGTTGAGGAGCGCGGAGGACGCTACCACGTCCCAGTACGCGCCGGCGTGGGCCGCCACGGCGCTGGGGAGCATAGTGCTGCGCCCGCGGGCCGCCTGCGCGCCCGCCTCTAGCTCAGCGCCCCGCACCGGGACCGCGCCGCCGCCTCCGGTCGCAGCCTCCCGCAGAACTGGAGCGCGCTGAGCCCGGGAAGGAGGAGAGGGCACCGAAGACGCCGCCAGGCTTGGAACGATATTATTTATTTGGGTTGGGCGTTTTTTTAAAGGATGGGAGGAGTGAGTGTGGGAGGGGGAAGCTGTGCGTGTCTCTCGCCCGCGGCGTAGGCTCTGGGGGCGCCGGAGGAGTCCCTCCCGCTCCCTGTGCAGATCCGGACTTTTTTTTTTGTTTTTCTTCCAGAAGGCTGGAAGGTATGTCTAGCCCATCCATTCATGTCACCCGGCCCACAAAGTGATAGACGCGGCCAACAATAAGAGCGGCCCGAGAGTCTGAGCTTTGGCAAAGGGAGTGGACGCGTAGCGGGAGGAGGTGGGCGTGGAGGCGGCGTGAACCGGGCGGGGGCCCTCGCTCTGGAGCCCATGCAGCCCCCGGGGCGCGAGAGCGCGCGACCACGAATGAGGCGTGCCCAGAGGGCGGGCGGCACTCGCTTCCAGAGAGCGATCGATGTACCACCTGTTGTCGACCCGTGGCTCTCCAGTGTTGATGTCACTTCTTCAGGAACGAAGGGGCATCCAAGGGAAAAGAATAGTAGTCACTAGTGTCTTGAAGGGCTCTAGTCATCAGAGAAAGTCACAAGTGTTACTGAGACATCGTGGTCCTACAGATGAAAAGTTTTAAAGAGTGGGTTGCATATGAGATGCGTCCCCACCCCCGCCTTGTTAAGGCAAAGGAAATGAGTTTTTTTAAGAAATTTCGTAGTTTCTAGTAATTTGTTACTAGTCACTTTTTAATAAGATTTGATTTAGGAATGACTCCAGAAGAGATGTTCTAATAAATTTTGATCTAGAGAAAGGGATCTTAGTTGGAGTTGGTTAAATGGTTGGGTCCAAAACCCAGGAAGAAAAGCCACCACCAAATTTTCCTAACCAAACCTGGCTGGGTCTTCCTCCACAGAGACCAGGATGAGAACACTGAATTATTTAGGCTTACAGTTGCTCTTTTTTCCCCCGGTAGAAATCTGGGCAGTTTCCAATTTATTCACAGACTGTTAAAGACTGGACAGGCAAAAAGTGTGTGTGTGTGGTTAAAAGTTCCTTTAACCACAAGGCAATTTAAAGTTCCTCGTTTTTAGAAACTATCAATGGAGTTTTAAAACTGTGACTTCTCCGTCAATTAACAATTCCCAATGCTACTCTCCTGTGCAAATTTAGATGAATTTATTTAAAATAAATTTTTTAAAGGATGTCTGAAAGGTTCAGGGTTGCATGTATAGTTTTCCTCTTTATCCTAATAATAATATGGTTCCTAGCTTCAATTTTCTTAAAAGCTGGCCAGGTTTGCCAGGCTAGTGAGATAAATTTCCTTTAAAAATTCACCTGGTTGATTTGTGTTTCATTTACACCAGGTATGTCAAAAGCTTTCTAGAAATCCACTCGCTCTATCTGCTGCTAAATGGAAGGGAATTATTTGCAAGGCCGTTGTATGTTACTAATATTCGTTCACTTCCGATTTAGTCAACAAATCTTTACTGAGCATTTCATATTTATTGAGCATTTGTGGTGGTCCTGGGACTATATAGAAAGAGAAAAGAAAGGTCTGGCCCTTGCTTTGTAGAAGTTCAAAGCTTAGTGAGGGAGAAAATCAAGTAATATCTGATAAAGGGACTGTAATTTGGAAGGAAAAGCGTGAGAAAACCTCCAGAGTAAGATTCCCCTAAACTGAGTCTTAAAAGGTGAACAGTGGTCAGGGATGGGATGTGAAGTAGTAACCTTTGAGATTAGCAAGGAAAAGAGAGATTACATTATCCCTGCCAGTTCTATATCATAGCCACCATTTATTCAGTGTTTACATTTGGCCAAGTATAGACTAAATAATTTGTACATATTAGCTTGTTTAACTTCATAATAATATTATAAGGTTGGTACTATTATTGGCCCAGTGTTACTGATGGGGCACAGAAAACTTAAGTAACTTTCCTAAAACTACACCACTACCAGAGTGGTGAGGCTAAGATACAATCTAAGCTGGATGATTCCAAAGCCTTAGAACTTTTAAGTTCAACTGTCACTCTCTTCACAAATCTACTTGCCATGCTAAATGGTGTCATCTGCCCATGCAAGGGAGGCTAAGAAACAAGTATTCTGTTGTTCTGTAGTGGAAGGTGTCAATGAAGACTTGAGTCAAGAATAACTGTTGAGTCAGTCAAGTTGCCACAAATAAGAGGCAATTAGAGAAATCCAGACACAAAGTGATGTGGAATTTAACAAAATTAATGGCAAGAAAATGGAATGGAGGGGATAAATATTATAGTGGGTTGAATCTATAGGACTGGATGATGCAGTTCTCAACTGGGGGTGAGCCCCTCCCTACTCAAGAGTCATTTGGCAATGTCTGGAGATATTGTTGGTTGCCATGACTTGACGAAAGGATGGGGCAGTTAGCCACTGTCATCTAGTAGCTAGAAGCCAAGGGTGCTGCTCAACATCCTATAATGAACAGGACAGCTTCCCCAACAAAGAATTATCCAGGCTGAAATGTCAATAGTGTGGTGTTTGAGAAACCTTGGTTATAGAGGATAAGAGAGAATGTAGGATCACTTCCAGTTTTCTGGTCTAATGACTGAGTAGATGCCCACTCAATCAGGATGGGAACTTATAGGATGAAGAGCTGGTTTTACATGGAGGTATGACCAGAAAGATGGAGACAAATGTTCTGGTTGTTTGCAGAAACTTCCAGGGAGAATACTGTAGTGAGAAGAGAAATGAGCCTAAAGACAAATGCTGGGGAATACCAGTATTAAGGGAATGAATAGAAAAAAGAGGAGCCTTGAAGAAGACTGAAAACAAGCTGTCAAAATTTGAAGACTGAAACCAGAAGAGAGAATGGAGCCATGGACGTCAAAGGAAAGAAAGTTCAAAAAGGAGGAATGGCAGGCTTTGGTAAAGAACTGCTGTACCCTCAGCAGTTTCTTTTTCCAATGGGACAGCTACCGTGCATTTCCCAGCCTGCCCTTCAGGCTATGCATGGCCAGTGCAGTAAGAGGAGAAGTGATCTGTTTCTCCTCCAGTTCTGTCCCCTAACAATCCACACAGTCCTTTGTTCATCAGCTGCCAGATGCAGAGGTCCAGGGGATGAAGAAGTCCTCAGGGCATGGTGGAACCATAAGATTAAAGCAGCCTATGTTCCTGAATCACCACATGGAAGACACACAAAAATGAGTATTTACATAAGTAGATCATGACATAAGCAAAAAATAAACATTTATTGGGTAATGCCATTAAGATTTAGGAGTTCCAACAGCATATCCTCACCTACCTTAATTAATATACTGACTCTGCAAATGCCTCAGATTTAAAAAAAATTAATTTGATCCATAGTGACTTGGGCAAGTACGTTTCCGTCGGCTACAATGAGGCTTCTGTTGGGAGCAAAGGAAGTAGACACCAGTTTGTGTATGATTGAAGATGCATAGAAGGTAAGAAAGGGAAGTAGAAGTTGAAGAACCATAGGGGAAAGGTAAAGGGAGTTATAGGGTCAAAAAAAAAAAGGAAATATTTATAAGGTAAGAGAAAAGGGGCTGGAGGTAAAAGTGTGTTTGAAAGAGCCGTGATAAGCCCAGCACAGGCTGTACGGGCTTTTTACCTTTTGGTAAGGAAGTGTTCCAGGTCCAAGGCCTATTCTTATGTAGCCAAGTGAGCATGAAAGACCACATGCAGGAGACTGCCTTTCCCAACAGTTATCTTTATCTTCAGTTAATATTAGAGGGTGTTTTAGATAGCACCATAGACATTATAAGTTATTTTTCACCTGATAAAGAAGTGGTATATAAGATTCAGAAGAAAGCATTCCCACCTTTACTTAAAAGCCTTTACCTTCCAGAATGGAGCCCAAGGCTTAATTCTGACCCAGCCCTGTGTTCAGTCACTGACTTAGGGAACTCATTGCCTAAATCCAGCTATAATCTTAGCAGCATCCTGAGACCAGAAAACTGTCACATTTCCTCAAGTGAATCTTTCATACAGGATATGAACTTGAGAGGCCTGAGAGATGGACATCATTGAGCTTATAAACGTATTACAGGACTGTTTCTGTATATGCTCGCACATAAATGTTTAAATGTGTCATAGAATTCAGTCTGACATTTGCCTTCACACCTGGCTGTGGGGCTATGGAGATGGCTCTAAATCTCTTAATTTGCTTAATTAGCTATTTGAGACTTCTTGTATATATGAAAGTGAACCTAATCATTGAGAAAGCCCAATAGGCTCAGGCCATTTTCATCCCTTAAAGAACCACTTTGGTCTGTGCTGAGATCTGATCCAAAAAAAAGAGCATCATTGCAAAATCAAATGCCTTCAGGGTCAGATGGCTGACACCTATGGGTTAGCCATGTATAAAATAATAGAGAGTGAGATAGTTCCTAAATAGTGTGTGTTGGGGGTGGTCAGAGGCTGCCAAGCAAAGCCTATGCTTAGACCTGTTTGTAACTAGTCTGGAGAAGTAGTCTTGGGCCAGAGTGTGCTTTGTATGCAGTACTCAGGATTTTGGACTTTGTCCTTAAAGCAATCAATTAGCAATAATCGCTCCTCGGATAAACCTCATTGGCTACGATACTGCCACTGCGCAAAGCTGTCCTTAAAGCCATCAGATGTGCACCAGAAAAAAAGAAATTGTAACCGTACGTAGTGATGGATATTAACTGAAACTTATTGTGGTAATCATTTTGCTATACATATCACATCATTATGTTGTACACCTAAAGCTACAGTGTTATATGTCAGTTATATCTCAATTTTAAAAAAGCAATGAGATGTGATTTCATATCTGCCTTTTAAAGGATCACTCCTATGGTATGGAGACTGTGCTAGGATCTGGAGAGTTGCTGACTGGACACCATTCAAGTAATCCAGAGAAGAGA